TGCTCCAAATCTTCGATCAAGACTGTATATATAAATAAATAAAAATTGTTGATACCCTTACCGATGTTTGTATGGGCAATGCAGGCAACTGTGGTTTAGGTTTAGATTCATTTTCTAAAAATCTAACGAACGCCGCTGATAAGGATGCTTCTTGGTCCTAAAATTTTGCAATTATTTAAGGTATTTTCTAGCGATCGATGTTTTGTTACTTAAAAAATCTGATGAAAAACTTACTTTAATAGGAACAGTAGATCCGCCGCTCAAACGTGAAAACCAACTATTTTGCGCGGCAGCGTTATTTAAACCAGCTTTATCCTTCTCCGATTCATTGAAATCCAGAACTGTGGAGAACACCCTGAGCACAGAGGATTTATCCGTCGCCGAGGAAGACAGGTAACCCAATAAAAGATTCTTAACGAGAGTCCTGGAAGAAATAATCATTTTTATATATATAAAAATCTTCTAACATCAGTCCAACGATATTATTTACACTTACTTATCAACTTTTCCCTCGCCACTTTGCCTTGCCTCCTGTATCCTATTATCAGCTGTGTTCACAAGATTTGATAATCGGTCCACTACAAATATACAATAAAACATATGTAAGAAAAAAACTAATAATAAGACAATACAAGATACTAATTTATACTATATTATTTATTAGCTCGGTTTAAAGAAAAGTTTAGCATGTCGGATCTTTCGTTTTCTATATACGTGCATTCCAGCGTTGTAAAGTCGGCAGATACTGGAGGTCGGAAAGATATGAGCGTAAGTATAACACAAGTACTGGTTGTCCGAATATTACACCAGTACCTGATGTAATACTCACACCCATGTCTTGGTTGCTCATGCTGCATTCTTCGCTTATCATGCCATACTAGCAAAAAAATCTATGACTCATGCCACTAGAAGTAAGAAAAGCTATATTAATTTTAGTTTACGTTACACTAAACTATCCCAACGCTGTCCAACTGGCGACCCGTGAAGCAAATCAATATTTTATCAATAAAGATTTAAATAAACATCTATGGTAATTTCATAATTAAAATGAAGAGAAACGTGTTTTATATAGAAAGTTTAACAACGGCCGTTATGATGTTACAAAAAACCGGTATAATATTGATATGGATATAAAAAAAGATGGTTGCTCAATAATTACGTCCATAAAGGACTCATTGAGATTTTGCATATATTTTTGTCACACTATTTTAATGAACTGTTTTCGTAGAAATAAACTAATTTTCTATGTGGCATTAATTGACTTTTTGATTATATGCCCTCCGTTGGCTCCCGAAACGTTTGTAAGAGAGAAAACGAACTAAGAGAAGTTGGACAGTGTTGGACTATCCTAATCCTATATTTTTAATCCAATTCCTTACAAATGAAACTAGTTAAAAAATATGCATAACAAATCTAATACGATATTCACGATACTGTTACAAGAAAAATACTAATATTCAGTTTTCTAGTCGATCAGCATATAAAATAGAAGACTGTATACGTCGCAAATATGAAAACGAATTGTTTTAGCTACATACTACATATATCATCCCTGTAGGATAATGGTAACGGGTGGGAAACCCCACGAGGTAATATGAGCTCTTACAATTCACACGCTCACAGTTACCGCATGAGATTACCCACTCCAGCGCTACCAAACTTTATCTTTACACAGATTTGCCTACAATACGTTATAGCTTGTTCCAATACGTGTAAGACCAAATAATGTCTCGGCCCCTTGCATTTAATCGTCAAAATTTAACGCTTGAAATTATGGATTAGAAAATATTATTGGAGATACAGTCGGAACGCGATCAATCAGTGTAATAAAAATACATTCGTCATTCATGTAACATCGCTATTATATCATTTCCTGGTTTATAACATACTAGTATTGCAAACTCATAGCAGCTAGCAGTTTTTTTCCCTCAAGGATAAAGAGAGAATGCCGGAATATTATGTAATGCACCACTCGTATACTGTGCGGAAGTACAAATTGTAAAAACAGATTTACATATTAATTAGGTGCAAAATGAACTTTAGTAATATAAATCTAATGACACTATTTTCGTGCCGTTTAGCAGTACTTCATGTTAGTAATGGGGTATTTGTATTTAGAAAAACATAAGAGAAGATAGCACCAGCACCAGTGGCAATGCATGAGCCAACGTGAAGATGTGTGATTTAGTGCGGTAAGGCGATCGTCCAGCTCGTAGCCGGATACCAGCAAGAATCCTGGGCTCTTGTCAAAAATCCCAGAATTACCAGCTGATATTTGACTACGCCGCCGGATTGTCTACGTGTTTTTGCTTTTTTGCAGATTAGTCACAGATCACACTCAAACCGATGATAAGGGGGGCGATGGAGGGGGCGGGGGTTGTAGTAAGAGGATTTGCAACCTTCTCAACCAGTGCATCAATTATTGCAATTAGAAAATTTGGTGTAAAATTGATTTACAGGCTGGCTGACTGCGAGTATAATTTCATCACGTGTGTTTCCTTATTTTATATACACAATACTTTTTGTACAGTAGACTCTCGCATAACGCGGTTAATACGTCACACATTATATGAATTAGGAATGCATGAAAATAAAAGTCGTCGGTGACAATGAAACAAGCAATGTTATGCTCAACTAAAGTAGATTTAATTCTAGACTGTAGGAAATTCCTGTATTTTATTTATCGCGTTACACGAGAGTCTACTGTATACATTGTTCCAAAATTAATAATGTTTATACTAGACGTAGCATGTGATCAATATCAGTGCAATATTTGAGGTATTCTATTAGTGATCGAGGTAAAAAATGTATTTAATCTACGTATATACGATTACTTTGCAAAATACGGATATCCACTTAAAAAAAATTTATTATTTACATGAGAATAATCCGGTTATGAATTTTACTTTGCGCTACAAATTAAAACGTATTGCTACTATTGCTAGTGTAAAGAGGAACGGATTATTCTCAACATAACAGTCTTTAGTATTTAATGGTGTATGGTAATTAATAATACAAATTTTAATAATTACGCTATGCCAAGCATCATTCCAAAAACTATTCTTAGTTTAGTTTCAATTCCGTTTGATAAAAAGAAATCGCACACAGAAAAATCTGATTTTCGTTACCACAACAATGAAGCGCAGATGCGTATTATTTACTTTGCATTTGATTAAAAAAAATGGTATTAAATGAGGTAAAATTGATTACACAAAATCTAATGAATGTTTGTAAATATTTTTGCGAATGTATAAAAATTGTTGCTATTGCAAAATTATGATTGGGCAGGTACTTTGATTGCAAATAATGCTAATCATGCGAAATGTGGAGAAAAAAAACAAGATGCAGACAAATATCGTCTTATAGTAATTATGAAATCGAATACCTTCTTGGCTAAGTTGTTCGATACGTTCCGTTTTTCTATCTAGCTCCTCACTTAATCTGGAAGCCGCTTGTAAGCATTCTTTAGCCTCAGCTAATTGTTCCTATGGACAGCAATTATAACAATGTATTATTTCGTGCTACAAAAGTAAGAACTACGTTTCCAATATTAATATAACAAGTATGTAAGACTACCTTGAGATTTATAATTTCATTGATCAATTCTTCTTGTCTTTTATAAGATTCGTTTAACTTGGACTGAATTCTTTCTGTTGCCGCCACGATATCTCTCTCTTTATCTAAAAATAGTAAAAGTAAACAATAATCATTTATAAAAAATAAAAGTATAGTCGTAGTGAATATTAAGTGGCCACAATTCGAAATGGAATAACTTTAAAAACAAATAATTTTCTGTGGGATACTCGAAGACTTTCTTAAAATCTTTTTTACATAATAAACTATGTCTTTATCATTCCAAAAAGTATGTTGTTCGATCCAATATTAAAAGAGTTATTTTATTTTGAAGTGTGCCGACATAATATCGTTCACGATTGTATTTCACTATAAGCTACCTCGTTGGAACTGCTCCAGAACGATTTGTAGATTAGTTAAAGAAGCCGTCTGCGAGAGTATTTTATCTTCAGCAGCGGACAATTTGTTCTGTATTTCACTTCTTTGCTGAATAATCAATGCCATCTGTTGTTGCAGGGTTTCCACTTGCTGATTCGCTCTTATATTCGCAGACGTGTATGCGGTCGAGCTAGATTTCACTTTTTCCTCAGCCTGTTGCAATTTTGCCTCTAATTGCTTCCTGGCCTCCTCAGCGAGTAAAGCATCCTCCGTGTAGCTCGATTCTATTTCCACCAAATGCGCTCGCAGCCTCTCCAACTCTTTCGCGGCGTTTGCCTCTTTACTTTGGCTTTCGCTGAATTGATTCTGCAACATTCGGTTGTTCGATTGCTCTTGAATCAGCGCCGCTTCTAACGCGTTACACTTCTCGATGAGAATTGAGATTTCCGCGGCCTGCGTTGTATGCTCTACGATCCCGCAAGTTTCTCCTTTGCTCGATTCTTCGGCGTTCTTCAACCGTTGCTGAACCGCCTGCAACTCGCTCCTCGTCCACAAAAGTTCGGCGTCTTTCTCCTTTAATTCTGATTGATGTAGATCTCTTTCCGCCAATAAACTTCGAACCTGCGAGGCTTGCTCGTTCAACAATTGCGTCAATCTTTGAATTTCTGCATGATATTGTAAACTCTCGTTATGCTTAATAGTAACTAATTTCACGAGCTCGTCCCGTTCATTCTTCACGGTAACGAATTGATCCAACGTCTCTGCATTATCTTTGGCAAGTTGTAATGCATTTTTAAGGTTGCCGATCTCCTCATCCTTTTCTCGAATTAGGTGAGACAAACTCTCTATTGTTTGTTTTGCCATATCGGCCGATTCCGTATTACTATCGACGGCTTCTTGCAGTTTCATTTGCGAATTCATTACTTCCGTCATTAATCTATTATTGTCTTCTTTCAATGCTTCGTTCTCTCGTGTTTTCTCCTCTAAAAGAACCGACATCTGTTGTTCCTCGTTATCACGAACCTTTTCATTTAAGCGATTTAGCAACTCCTCTTTCTCTGTTTGTAGACACGTTACGTCGCGTTCCAATTGTCTATAGTTATCCTGAAGCATTTCGTACTCACTCTTCAAAGTTTTATTCTCCTCAGCAAACGATTCTAAATTTTCTTCGAACTTCGTCAATTCTCTTTCCTTCTGACGTAACGTTTCCACTTCGTTCGCCAGCTGGGCGTAATCGTTCTGCATGGAATTCAACTTCTCAGTCAATTCGGCGATCTCCGAATCGTTCTTCAATTCTTCACGTTTCTTCATCTCGTTATGCAGATTTTCATTTTCTAATTGAAGTTCCTCAGCCCTTTCGTCCATCGATAGAAACTCGCTCTCCAATTTCGCGTACCTCTCTTCCATCTCTTGTAATCGTTCTCTAGTTTCGTTCAATTGTTTTTCGTTGCTCGCCAATTTTTCATTCAACTCCGCTTGTTCCTGCTCAAGCAAAGTCTTTTCAGTGCTTACCAAGTCTATTTTATCGTTCGATTCGTCCTGGATGGCAGTCAATTGTTCCAATAAAGAATCCTTCTCCTTCGTTAAAGTTTCATTTTCTTGATTCAGTTTTGCTATACAGCTTTCTTTCAAATCTATTAGACTCAACGCTTCATCCAATTCTTTCCTCATATTCAGTATATCGTACTCCAGATCATCTTTCTCGCGAGTGACTCCGTTTAGTTGTTCCTGAAGATCTTTCAAGGTTTCATGACTTCCTGTTTCCGAATTACTCTTACGCCACTGTGAAATCTCAATTTCCAACTGTTCGTTCCTCATAGATAGTTCCTCGTTTTCTTTCTGAATCTCGTTTTTCGCGTCTCTTAGAAGCGTCAAACTATTCTCCAATCGCTGTGTGTTTGTAGTGGACGTCATTAACTCCTGTTTTGCGTTCTCGAGATTATATTTCAATTCCTCGATAAATTCGACGTTCTCATCCAAATCCCTGCATTTCTTCAACGACATCTTCAACTGTTCCTGCATTTCCTTCTCCGTATTTTCTAACATGTCGATTTTTTTGCGCAGCCCATCGTTCTCGTTTAAACTGGCGTGCAATCTTCGATTCAGGTTCTCCATCGTGTTAAACGTGTCCTCGATGTCTTCCGGTATATTCTCCAGCTTGGCAGCTTTCTTGCGCGACGCAGCTGCTGCGTGAGCCTGGCTCTTCAAACGCGCTTCGTTCAAGCCAGCAGCTCGTATCGCGTTCTTCTTCCGCAACGCGTTTTTCTTTCTCATCGCGGCGTTCTCCGCTTGAAGCCGCTTCATTTCCTCATGCAGTGACTCGTTCTCCGATTCCAACGAGACAATGCGTTCTTCGTTTGCCTCAGGTATCGACGGTAAACTCGATTTTAAATCGTCGATCTCTTGGAGCAGCGTGTCTATATGCGACTGTTTCATGCTGCATTCCATCTGCAGATCTTCCTTCATCTCCACGACTCCCTTTAATTCTCTGTTCAACTCCGATACCCACTTCTCCACCACGTCTTTCTTCCATTTCACATCGACATATTGTTTCGCCAGAGCTTCGAAGATCGTTTCGTTCGGCTCGATTTCCACGCAAGTGCTCTTCAAAATATTTTGCACTCTGTCAGTCAACGAGTTGACCGCATCATCTTTGTTTTCATTCTGCTCCTCGATGGAGTCCGAATCGTTCGCCTGCGTACATTTGTCCACACTTTCTCTACTGTTAGTCTGCACTGAACTGGAGACAGTTGCCGTTCGCGTCCGCGTTTCAGACTCTAATTTAGTTACTTTATCTTCCAGTTGGACGACTTTGTCCTGAGCTTGATTGTATTCTACATAAAGTTGTTCGTAAGCGTTCTGAAGGCACTGATGTTTTTTCACGACCTCCTCCTTGAGAGACAGCAGTTCCTCTGTAATTATGAAACATAAATATGGATCAATTATTGTTTAAAGACTATTCCTCTCTAAACTTAATAAAATTAGTATGTACCTATCGATTCCTCGTGCTGTCCATCCAACTCTTCGATGCTGGCAAACAACCTCCTGTTCTCTTCTTGAAGCTCCTTGATTTTGTTGCGCAACTCTGACTCCCTGTTGCTTGAAGCCTCGACGAATCCGTCGCATCGCGCGTGATTCTCTTCGTGGCACGAGTTCGCGTCAAGATTAGGCTTCTCCTTGCTGTGCCTGTTAAATTTTTCGTCGAAATCAGACTTCTCCCGCTTGTTGGCCTCGCTGTATTTTTCATTCTCAGTTTCTAGTGCTTTCAAGGCGCCACGAACTAAATCCAATTTCTCGAGGGAGTTCAATTTGGACAGCACCGTACGAAAATCAGTGACCAATGCCGTTTCGTCTGAATGCGTGCGTCTTGCGTTCTTCTCAGCCTCCCGATTCTAATTAATAAAACAATAATCTCTTTTATGTTTTTGATTCAATTAAATATTTATAAGAAAAGTTATATATACCTTCTCTTCCATTTGTATTATACGATTCATTATATCTTGCTTAGCTCTTAAGAACTCCGCTTTCTGATGTCCATCGGTGAGTTCGTCCTTTAAGGTGAAATTGTTAATCTGGAATCAATGATAACGTCCTTTTCTTAGAAAAGCATAGATTAGAAGAATAAGGATATACGCTGGCATATACTAATATTCGGACACATTTCAAACTGGAATAACTACTATAATCTTCGACAAATCAACTTAACTCTTTTTCAAATGCTAGGAGATTTAGTTTATGTAGATAATGTATAAAACAATTTTTTTGCAAAGTTACTATTATTCGAAATTAGAAGAAAAGAAAGTAAGCGACACAAGGCAAGGCAAGTTAATTGGTCCAATATTAAAAAATTTATGAAGTGTGCCTGAATGTTAATGAGGACCAATGAAATGCCATTTATTAATCTTTGAACAGAAGAAGATATAAATATTTGTAAATGCGTTAATATTAAAACTGAACGACAGTCATATTACGCGTATCTATATTTTGATCAATAAACGAGATGATATTGATTAAAGATAAAACACGTAAGTAATGACATGTGTTGTGTTGTCACATGTATGCATGCGTGAAACGTGGACGTCAATGCACAGTTTAAAATTAAACACAATTATCTAGAAACAATTACTACGGTAATTATCCCTTTTACGTTTTGTGGGACAGAAAAGACAATGCGATTATTAGGTGCATTATAGGGCAACGAAAATATTACACGTACGGCTAATGATTCCAGAAGAATGCATTAACTTATCCTTTTTCGTCAATATTCCAACGTTCACTTTTGTTCATATATAGGGTCACTCGCTTTCGAATTATACTAAACAATCTCAGTTTCTTAAGTAAGTAGTTAGATGAGTCAGTTTACTAAATGTTGTGTGAAGAAAATTTCGAAAAAATAGGAAATGGTAGAAATTGTGAGGAAAAAAATAAAGACCATGTTTTCTAACTTTCTAATTCAAAATTCATGCAGGAAAAACATTTTTTAATAAAATCAGAAGCATAGATCAACTGGCTACATAATAACATGGATACAACTCATGTATCTTACCTTTTGAACGCGTTTAAGTTCAGCTTCCAAATCGTGTATCCTCACGGTGGCTTGTGCCAATTGTTCCTGCAATTGCCACACATGGTTTTGATTCTTGGAATTCCGACTCCTCGTGGAGGGTGGATCCCAAAAGAATCCCTCATTCTCATCGTCATGGTTACTATCATTCTATAACAAATAAAATATTAACATTAAATACGCTTATTTTGTATACCCATAAATATTATTTGTCAGGAAATCGTAACGACGTTCGCAATGGCCAAAACGGATGCGAATCATGTTTAGCAAAGAAAATTTGTGATTATTCAGACTAATCTTGTGAGAAAAGACACGACTGTTTCTCTAGTTTATCACAGAGAACCGAGCGAATTTATTTGTTGACAGAATCATTTCAAGACGAAGCAAAATAAAATGTAATTCGAATTAAGACATTGATTTAATATCATAAGAATCATAAGTAACGCTTCGAATCTTAGAACATCATGTGAATAAATATGATTCGTACTTAATTTCCATAACCGATGTGTTACAATTCCCGTTTAGTATGAGAATTGCTATTAACTTTAAGTCTCAATTAATCAAAGACAAGAGGAACGAGTCAGAGCCGAAGCAGGATGCGAATCCGCTGGTAATCGTATGATTACTAACTTAGCATTGTTATGCACGTTTACATAAGTATATCCCGCAAATGTGAACAATGCATGTATGTGCGTATGTATCTACAGTATCTAGTACGGCATTGCTGGAACGTAAAAGTGAAAAAAGAGAAAAAGAACAAACGTAGTGGAGGTGGACGGAATTATGTAATCGAAATTATGGTCACATTGGTTCTCTATCAGGAAAGGAAAAAAAAACGATATTGACAGGTTGTTTGTGTGAAATAAAACTTTTACGATGCCAATTTAAAAAATGTGATTTACATAAAAATTCATTAAGGTAAATGACCCAACTTTTATTCACTGGCGTACCTTTTTACAATACTGTATGTTATTTTTACACTGTGTACTTTTAGGTACAATAATTATATAAAAAATGATATTTAGTAAGAAACCTTTAAGTATCATGCTTTACATATTATACTGTTCATACATTATGCACCTTTATTTAACTACATATATTTTTGATATTGTGTAATGCATACAATCTGCAAAAGTTAATGTAAGAAAAATTCTTCAAATTATTGTAACAGACTAAAGTATAAATAAGAAATTGTTTCTTCTTTTTAATAGTGAATTTTCTTGCTCCGTTTATATTAAGTTAATAATTCCAGTGTAACAAATAAATCACTTTCAGTTTTCGGTCCTAATTAATCCACCCTGTTCATTCAATTTCCTCGATGGAAAGGATGTCAAGATTGTATGGTGAATCGATATAAAAGCCTTGTCATTCCACAGAAATCGCCCGGGCTTGCGTAATCCCACCGTTTATGGACTCTCTCACGTGTTCCGTGCATACTTTGCACCGCTGGTTTTTTTTTTCGTCCAGATGTCCAGGACAAACCGGATTTGGGATATCTCAATTCAATTGAATTAAGTTCGCTACCGATGCAAGAGGACAAATTGAATTCATAATACAATGCAAGCCACTGTAATTTTCAAAGTCTTTACGTTTACATAATCTATATCCATATCGCCTTTCGATAAAAATAGATTTAATGCATTCTAACTTCGAGGAATAGAATAAAAATATCCTTGTAGCGAAAATTCTATCCATATTCTTGTTACACGTGATTCACTTCGAGCCTGATGATCAATACCCGTTTAGTGGTACTCGAATGACTCGTCACCATGTTTGAAGTTTGCGTGACATCATTTATCTTTGTGAGATTATAATTAGTATTTAGAGATTGTATTCACAATCCGTATAAAACTTCTCCATATCGGATGTAATTGTAAAAAAATAATGATTTGTGTAAAAATGTATGATTTTCAAGAAAAATGAGATATTACATGTTTAGGTGGACGGTTTGTGAAGTCTCGCCTACCTGTTGATTAAAAAATGAACTTCCTCGCGCTCTTAATTTTCATGAAATACTTCATTTTCATATAAAATCATGAATTTTTACAAAAACCGCTGTTTTTCGGGAACGGTTACGTGACAAAGCGTTTCTGTTTCCGGATTCCTCTTGGCATGAGGAATTCTACAAGAATGACAATGCAAAAGAATGTTCTGTTGCACAGTGTTAAGAGTCTGTGAGAAGGAATCTTCAACAAAAACAGAATTCGTTTTTTAATTATTCTATTGATAATTTAAAAAAATTGAGATTTGATAAATTCAATGAAATATCGTCCATGTCGAAATAATTTAGCAAGAAGTTAATAACTTGCTTTTAATGTACATTTTTATTACTCACAATCAGTTATAGTCGAATTTTAATGAACTCGTAGTTGATTATTTACAGTTTAATTTTATAGTCAGATATATTTTTCAATTCGTTTCGATTTTCCTCATTCGCAACACGATTAGAGCTCATATATGTGTGAATCTATAAATCTATATCATTGTGGCAGTACGTTCTGCATCGAAAACTGTTGCAGTAGATAGAACCATTTTTCCATTCTTATTCTGTTCGAAACATGCAAAGCAAACAGGCATCGACCACCTTAAGGCAACGGTGGAAGACAAAAAGGTATTATCATTGACAAGAATGTATGTGCACAGTTCGCCTACGGACAATTGAAAAATTATTACTTCCTGCTGCAGTAAAGCTAAACGTGTTTTCAAATGACACGATACTTTTCTTACAGACTACATTTTACGTTCTAACGGAGTCTCTTCATCGAAAAAAATCCAACTTTTGTATTACATTGTTTGCAACGAAATTGAATTGTGAAGTACTGTACTGATCTATTTTCTTTGGGATGTTTCCCTCGGGAGGTCTGGTTTACTAAATAAAATGTAATAAAAAAAATTGAAAGAAATTGCTATTCGTAGAAGTCTCGAATAAAAAGGAAAAGGGCATGATTTTTAATTTCTTTATTAGTGCCTCCAATTGTGAATCATTTCGATTGTAGATCTAACTTCTATACATGTACGAAGTTTCATGAAAATAGGTGAAAGCATATGAAAGTTAGACACATCGAAACATGTAAAAATTCTTCAATTTATCTCATCGTCAGTTGAAGATCGAAAGTCGTGAAAAGCTACGATTTTTGACATTTCTAATCACTTGTACCTTGTAGCAACATTAACCAATTTTTATGAAACTTTCTACATGCATATAATTTATTTAGATTTATAAACTTGATGTTCCAAATTTTTATTAGAGACACCAATAAAAAAGTAAAATCTCATGTCCTTTACTTTTTATTTGAGATGTCTACGAATAGCATATTTCCTAAATTTTGTATTACACATTGTATAGTAAACTAAGTCTTCTAAAATCCCAAAGGAAATTAAGTTGTTTGATCCAACAATAATGAGATTCACATCACATAAGCAGAAAATGATGAATCTAAAGTGAACTTGTTTGTTTTCTATTAAAGTGAAATTCTACCCGTTTTGGAGTATCAATTTCATACTATGACCTATCATAATGGATCAGTATGGGTGATAGAGGCTCGTTGCAAAGTTCAAACAACAATCGGTGGAGTCAATCAAATTGCAATCTTGATCAACGATATCAGTGATCTATTCCCTTGTACAGTGCCTTGTAATTTCGCGTGTAACGCGAAGCAATCGCTATGCGATCCTATCGGTATACTACCGTGTTCATTTCCGTCGCCTTTACTTCTCGAATGACACACGCAAACGTTTTTAATGAATTACACGCGAGCCTCTTTTCCGCAAAGACGGATGAAACCTACTCATTCACAATCTTTATAATCATGCGAATAAATGAGACCAGCTTCACTTGCAATATTCCCTTATCGGGATTTGAGAAAATACGATCTTTCTCTTTAGGAAACGCGAGTATATTTGCTGAAGCTGGTCAAAGATAGCTGATCAAAAGAGTCTAGCAAGATCGACGTTACGATGTACACAACGTCACACTAATTTCTTTTGCTGCTAAACGACCCTGGGACCCCGAACCTTGTCAGTCCCAAGATATCAAGTGATTCGAGGTGAGTCAAAGCTGGCTGTAACGGCGGGAAAGAAGGAAACTTTTGTCGCCGCTGTACAAGTCAAACAAGGTATTATTCCTTGACCTGACCTAACGGAGGCTCCTTTCATATTCATTAGAATCGCCCCTCTTCGGACCATTAAAGCTAGCTTCAAACACATCCCTTTTATTCTCTCCGCATCCGCTTTCGTATTTCGACCAGATGATTAGTTATTCAGCGTAATAGATTTAAGAAAGTCGTTTTACAAATTAGGTTTTACAAGTTAGATTTGGATTTGTGAAAAAAAGAATAAAATAAGAAAATTATATTTCCCTAAAAATAGTTCCTTTATTATGAAATGATTATGTGTATTTT